AAAGTGCACAAAAAGTGACAACTGTTAATATAATTTATAATTCTTATGAAAACTAAGACATATAAAATTAAAATGTTCAAACTTACATAGAAGTGAAAGAGAAAGTGCATTTTATATAGATTGTTTTCAATATTAAAACTGGTCGATAGAGAGTTGTTACATACATTCTGTCATTTATCGAAAGACATTTCAATTTATAACTTAATTTCCACAATTAAGAAAGCTTTCTTACACTTCTCTTACAAATCCTCCTGCATGCTGCATGACACCCAATTCCAGTAACAGCGGGGTGTAGGCCTACAGCTGAACCTACACCAGGGCACACCTTTGAACAGGTAAGTGGACATATTACTGGTTCAACAACTCTCCGAACCTCATGACCTATTCTTCTTACTGCATTGACCACGCGACTCTTAAGACGCCGAAATCGGAAAGCTTCGGAATCATTCGGCAATACAGCAGTCAGAAGAAAGAGAATCAAACAAGTTGTAAGCTTCATTATGGGCATGTCTACACCTACAAATAAAATATATAAATGTCAAAACATGTTTGGAAAACAAGCAAAAATTAAATCACAATACGCAAATACAAAAAATATCGGGAACCACGTTCAGATGAACATTTGTTACATCTAATTAATTTTGGCAAAAATATTATTTAAATTATGTATCTCTTCCAAATAAAATGGACGAAAGGCCAAGACGAGTCAGCGGTAAGCGTGTTAGATTCGCCACCAAAAGCATACAGGTTCGAAAACCCTGCTATCAAATCAGCCCGGGTCAGCTAATATACTATATCTTTGGGTAAGACATCTTTCTCCAGTTGCCTTGGTACTAAATAGCTCTCACATCTTGCTGCGAAATAAAAGTCCACACGAATCGTAAGCAAATGAAACTAACTAAAAGAAGACGGATTTGCATTCCTCTATCTTGGGTGAGAAAACATTTGTTCATTAAAATGTTTTCTTATGTGCATGCACCATCCTATCTAGAACCGATGATCGATACTTACACCATGTGCAACAAACTTCAGGATGTATATTGCATCCATTGGGGTACATTTATTAATATAGCTTGGTACATTCGTTTATTCCAGGAAAGCTGGTGGAACTTACAGCTGCTTACGTTGCCTACTTCAGAGAATACCGGACATGCGAAAACAAGATTGGGAAAATAAACTACGTCTGTAGTCGATCCACTTCAAGTAAGAGCGTTACATGATACAAGCCCAAACTATTTCACTGTAACAGTCATGACTAATAGGTAATGAAACAAGACTCGTCCATACAACAATGCATGTAATGATAACACTTGGGTGCGGATTGATGCAATACAGAACCAAGCATCTTTAAATTTAAGATTGTAATGATTGTCAGTATACCTGTTAGTTAAGTTGATGTTCCTGCTTTCAGACGTGTGGTCTTGGAAACCTTGTAGTATAGTTTGCCAACCCTTATTCGGATTTTTTTTTAGTTTCGGTTTCTAATCAAAACACGTATCTTTCAAAAACTATGCCTTTGTCTCCATTGTTTGAAAGCATGTATGTATGTATGTATGTATGTATGTATGTATGTATGTATGTATGTATGTATGTATGTATGTATGTATGTATGTATGTATGTATGTATGTATGTATGTATGTATGTATGTATGTATGTATGTATGTATGTATGTGTGTATATGTTGTATGTATGTATATATGTATGTATGTTTGTGTGTGTGTGTGAGAGAGAGATCGATACACCTTAAATTATGTAATAAACTAATTTTTAGTATGATATTTGCTCGAGAATTATGCCCTGAAATATTTTTAATTTGTCGAAGGGTGAATGAGGCCACAATGACTAAATGATTACCGCATACTAGTACTGATCTAGGAGGCTTACACACACACACACACACACACACACACACACACACACACACACACACAAACGCACAAATGTTTCCTACTGTAAGTTTTCTTTATCGTTTGGTAGTTATAATTATAACCTGGATAGAAAAAAAAGGATGGTTCTTTTCCAATAGACCGTCCGCTTTCCTTCCCACTCCCACAATATTTCGCTATCAGCCATTGCCATAGAAACGGCTAAAACTTAAATCTAAATGTCAGTTAATGACAAGCGGTATAAACTATATGGAAACTATTTTAGATTAGCGAATACTTGTAACTCACCTGTTCTTGTTGTTCGGAATTTTTTAAAAATCATTTTTACTGCACCGGTTCGCTGTTTGCATAAATATAAAGTGATGGTATATTTTATTTGCTATCATTGTATCCTATCTGGGTGTGTTGGGGATTGGGTGGATTGAAGGATTGGGTGGATTGGGGGGATTGGGGGATTGAAGGATTGATGTTCCTCCCTTATCTAGAGGGGGGATGAACGCCAAGAAAAACGAGTAAGAAAAGTAGAAATTTAAAGAAAATATGAGCAGTAAGGGAATATTTTTCCTAAACACAGAAAGAAAACAGTTCCAGAGTTTGATATCGTCAGTGATGATACCATTTTTATTGTCACTATTAATTGTTTACACACTGATGCGTTTCTGTATCTCTTTACGTAGATGTAAGGAAACATTTTCACTCGTGAAATGGAAATATTATATAAACAGGATTGGCGAAACTATTTGTGGAAAATACAAAATGTTTCCACTACACCAGTGAAATATATTTTTATATCTGCACAATTTAGATTTATTATTATTATTATTATTATTATTATTATTATTATTATTATTATTATTATTATTATTATTATTATTATTATTATTATTTTTTTTTTATTATTATTATTATTATTATTTAGATATATTTAGAGTGTATCAAATTCGTACTAAAAAATAATTGCAGAGATGATGTGACAATGTGTCTTGTGCAAACATCGTCAGTACCTACATACGATGCTAATGTGAACTGACAGCAGATCTTGTACACACGCCTTATCGGTATCCACTGCATGTGAAACACATTCATTTTGAGTGTATCGATTATGACTTTTGCTATTTTATGACTGATCTTAGCTGAAAGCATTTTGATCGCAATATTTTATCGGTACTGATGTGCCGTTGATATCTTTGTATCCATTGTATGTATGTATGTATGTATGTATGTATGTATGTATGTATGTATGTATGTATGTATGTATGTATGTATGTATGTATGTATGTATGTATGTATGTATGTATGTATGTATGTATGTATGTATGTATGTATGCATGCATGCATGCATGCATGGATGGATGGATGGATGGAACGGATGGATGGATGGATGGATGGATGCATGCATGCATGCATTCATGCATGCATGCATGCATGCATATGAATATATATATATATATATATATATATATATATATATATATATATATATATATATATATATATATATATATATATATATATATAATATAACATACATACATACATACATACATACATACATACATACATACATACATACATACATACATACATACATACATACATACATACATACATACATACATACATACATACATACATACATACATACATACATACATACATACATACATACATACTGCCCTACCAAAGTTTGGATGCCTTAAAACTGACATGGACATGATACGGTAGCAACCGTAGAATTTATCAACATTGAACAATTTCCGATAGTACTTTAGACCCCCATTTAAAAACACGACAATCACTTTAATATATAAAGTAGGAAGTACTTATAAACTTTCCCATACGTAGGTATAAAAAAAAAACGTCTGTTTGTCACATTTAGTGCTTTAAGTGGATCATGCGGGTGTTGAAAGGAATAACATTATGCGATTGGCTCTCTGTCTACAAGGAAGAGGCTGTTATGGCGCAATGTGGCTAATGACGACAGAAAGGGCTCTCTCTCTCTCTCTCTCTCTCTCTCTCTCTCTCTCTCTCTCTCTCTCTCTCTCTCTCTCACACACACACACACACACACACACACACACACACATATATATATATATATATATATATATATATATATATATATATATATATATATATATATATATATATATATATATATATATATCGAGAGAGAGAGAGAGACTTATACACGACTAAGCACGCATCACCAATAATTGATGCGAATATATATATATATATATATATATATATATATATATATATATATATATATATATATATATATATATATATATATATATATATTCTCACAATTTGTGTTAGGGTAATAAATATATCATACTGTAGTGTTGATAAAAACATTATAGACGTAAAATATATGAGACTTTCATGTGCACAAGAATGTCATGATCTGCACACGAAAATGTCATCATATTTGTGATGTCCTTACACTCTATGGTCATTTGTACGATGTTTTAACATAATATATATTGTTGAAAATTAAATTATATAATTTGTTTGCTTTACTAGTCTATTATGAATCGAGTCCAATTCAAATTATGGTCCGTGTGTCAGTCTAGTGCCCGTTCAACGAGGTTTTTTTTGTCAAAAATCACCACATTAGTTCTTAAAGTGTCTCAAAATAATGTTTTATCCTTGCCAAGCCTACCAGAAATTCTCTCTTTTTCAGAGATGAAATAATAGCCTCATACAGTGGTCACGTGTCCAATTTCAAAGATTGGAACCAAGGAAATAGCTGATGTTATAACAACCCATATCATTATCTCTAGCTAGTTTCCAATTCAGTCTTCACCTTTGACACAAGTTACTGGCATATTTAAATCACAGCACTGTATTAAAATCCCTCACAAATCCCATTAATTATCTTCTAGTATGTGTTCTCCATACGGACGATCTTTACAAGACAGCCTGTGAATATTTTAGTTAACCCTAACGTTGACACACAAAACAATCATACATGTATTATATCATATTAAAAAGTTAGAAATGATTGCCAAAACTTTGTACAAAAAATTACAACAGAGTTTATTTAAACATGTGACTAGCATTATAAGCTTCCATCCATGAAGAAAATTTCTTCTTGACAAACCGCTCCGATGGCCTAATGGTTAGAGCGTCTGCCTCTGATGAGGGAGGTCGTGGGTTCAAACCCTGGTCGAGTCATACCAAAGACTTAAAAAGTGGTACTAACAGCTGCCTCGCTCGGCGCTCAGCATTAAGAGGTTAGTGTTAGGACTGGTTGGCCTGGTGTCAGGATAATGTGACTGGGTGGGTTACGTGTCCGCGGCATGATGCCCCAGTGCTAGACTTCACTATAAACTGTCACCCTGCAGACATCGTAGCGATATAACTGAAAAATTGTTAAAGCTTAAATAAAAATATAAATCACACACACACTTATTGAACAATGGTCTACACTGCTTTAAAACAGCGCACTTCAGTCCAAATTACATGTCACCTACATATGTTCCAATCAACTCTAATATGTTCCTTTTCCTAGTCAAAGAGATAGATACCCTGATAGACTCTGCATACGTGCCTAACAACTCTCAAGCATATGAACAGGTAAGAAAAGAGACAGACAGTTGGTGACTTTTTTTTCGAAGGTCAAGAACAAATACAGCTAACAAAAAAATTCTGGTCATTGTCCGAAATCTCAAATAAATTGCTGGTATTATCTGGCAAGAAAGAAACCATAAATTCCAACTCGTCATGTAATGTGTGACGTATAGACATTGACAATATTTACAATGTGAAGTCCATTGGACCTTTTCTATTGTATGATCTAAATGCATGTTTACAAAGTGAAGTCCATTGGACTATTTTATATTGTATGTAATAAATGCATTTTTACAAAGTGAAGTCCTTTGGACTATTTTCTATTGCATGTAATAAATGCATATTTACAAACTAAAGTCTAATGGACCATGTATAACTTTATGATCAAAATGCCTATTTATAAACTGATGTCCACTGGATCAATTATTAATTTATGATCTAAATTGAATATCGTTCACGACATATAGAGTTTTTCAAATAACACATCCGTAATGTAAAGATTTATGTTTGATTAGATTCTGTCCGAATAGTACATTGAAATGATATGGGGGAAAATGCATATCCCTTTGTATCAAAGCACATAATGTAATACAAAATAATGGAAATCGATTTCCTTTAATTTCCTTATATGAAAAGACAGCATCCGTATACAGTACCAAAGAAAACAAAAACAAAACTTTATCGAGACAAATTTAAAGATTTAATTGTGTCTACGAACAATAAAATGACCTTAATAATAATAATAATAATAATAATAATAATAATAATAATAATAATAATAATAATAATAATAATAATAATAATAATAGCAATTATTATTGTCATTATTATTATAATTGCATCAAATTATTACATCTTGATATAGAACCATCAAACAGTATTATATGTTTTAAAATGGTGCAACAAATACTTTCTCAAAACATTTTAAAATGTATGACATTTTGCTCATTATAACAATAGTTGAAAAATCTTCCAGTGCACCGCATGTTGCTGTATAAGCATTTCCGTCTTGTAAGAGAATGGAAATATATAAGAAAATGTCGTCTCAAAGGATCCAATATAGGTCTCCAACTTTCATCAGTCACGGTGTAACCACTATTACGTTTTCCACTATATTTGTAAGTAACAGAAGTGTTAGCATATTCTGTTCTATTCGATATATCAGTTCAAACTAACAACACAAACACAGTCTACATATCTAGACCTACATATTCCAATATTTCTACATCACTGTTGTGTAGTGTCCGCATTCACTGTCTTGGGACTCGTGCTCTCCCCTGTCGTATCATTTATACCGGCAGCAACATCACCTGTAATTTAAGGGCAGATGAGGAAAGGAAACATAACTTGGTACATCAGAGCATACTAATCTGATTCCTACCAACCAAATGGCAGTTTGGATGAAAATCACGCAGCATATTTTGCAACATTTATTCATTCATAGCTTTGTGTTCGGTAAGGCGTTTCAAATAAGGTTTTCAAGATTGCATACTAATACGTAGAGTCAGTTCTACCATTTGATAACATTGGAAACATAACGGGTGGTTGTGAATTTTCTAAAATATTTATTCATTATCCCTGGACACATTTATTTTCAGATACTAAATGATGTAAATCATAAAACATTATTTCCTAAAATTGCTTTTAAAGTTACAGTACTATTTGATAATACAAACTCAAACAGGTTTCCTATATATATATATATATATATATATATATATATATATATATATATATATATATATATATATATATATATATATATATATATATATATATATATATTACAAGCATTATATTAGGCTCGTTCGAGGGTCCATGTTGATACTCTGAAAACCAACTTTAGCAATTTATTTTTATCCACGAATGAAAACGGTCAACGTCAAGATGTTGATTAACTTTGCAAACAACATAGTTGTACTCAAACATGCATTGACATGATATAATTTTATCTACTTTTCTTGCCCCCTTTCTCGTAGGTTTTTTTTTTTTTGCTGTGTATTCTTTAACAATTAAGAACTGACATTTACGTAAAATTGCTCTTTCTGTCATCAGTCAGGTTGACTTCCTGAAGATTGTCAAAAATTAGTACTAACAGTAAAATGTTATAGCTACTTTGCATACTTATTATGTACTGTATAAGTGTGCTTTTTTAGATCATGCGCATTAACGTAGGGATTTTATGAGAACCTCCGTATGTCCTCCGCCCGACCGTCGGTGTTCCGGTCACAGCAGGTGAAAACTTACGTCATCTGGTATCTTCTCCATATGTGTACCTTTCCTGCGAGATTATCGATTATATTTTTAATTATTATTGTGACTAAAGTTCATGGCTGCAGTTATACCAGCAAGTCAACGTCATTTATGATCCGGGAAAATTTCTATTTTATTTTTCATTGTTATTGTGACGCAGTTATACCAGCAAATAAACATCACATATGAAACGAAATTTAAGTTATTTCTGAGTAGCTCTAAAGTATTAGGTAGATGGGAAGAGGTGGGGAATTATTATATATAATGAACCCCATGATAATTTGAAATGAAGGGCCACTGAAGTTGCTCTATTTCTTGTTGATTTTTGTTGTTTGATTGTCTTCCTATCCTGATTTTTCTGTTTAGACAGGTACGTGCCTTATTTATCACTCAAATAAAAGCTTACTTGTTAAAATGAGTGGTGCTGTCTCAAATTCATCTACATCCAACATCTGATCACCTAAATAAATGAAAATTTTGGAATTAAAATCTTAGATAATTTCACAGCACTAAGAAGGAAACTGAAAAGGAAATAAGGCAACGATTATTTCGTGTACAAGGACAATTACTAGCAATGAATTGATTATAACATAATTTTATTAGTTATAGTATTGATGAATATCATAAACGGATCTTCTTCCACAATTTCAGAACAAATATGCGGATTAATGAAACTTTCGTTTTAAAAAAAAAAAGTGTTCAGCACAACGCAAAATGAATCGAGTATGCCGGTCTTGCGCAAAGACATCAACAATCAATGGTTCTATTCGCCCTGAAAATTCTAAATTCTCTTTTTAATAAAATAGATGTTGATGCAACCCGTGCCGCATTTAAGTCTAATATGTTCATTATGTTAAATACAAAGCTAGGGATCTAGTCTAGTACATCATGTAAGTACACTGGGAATTACGTTCTTCTAACGTACGTGTGCATATACATAAATGCTGGAAAGAAAATATAAATGTATCTGAACATATTCTATCATTCATTAAAATAGTATTAAGCACTGAAACAAACATATACGTACATGAGGACTCAAAACTAGGTATTTATGGATATTTTGGTATATTAATTAGTAATTAGAATTGTAAATCTTCCATTATATAGGTAGGGAATACAATATACAAACTTACCATCAACATCAGCAGACTGGAATATATCGTACACCTCATCCAACGGCAGTTTCTCGGCTGATGCAAACTCTTCTGGAGATATCAACTTATCGCCGTTCAGGTCGTAATGACTAAAATCAGGCGACATTGGAACAACTTGGAACTGGACATCTGACATAAAGTCGGGGATCTAAAATGATGAAGAACGACCCTGAGAAACCCTGTTACTAGTATTATGACTGTATTGTAATCCAATGAGTCCCTTTTCAAGTCATGAAGTAATTGTAAATTCAGTTTTAAACAGACATTTTATATTTTAAAAAATCGGTTCCTTACAGGATCCAGAGTATATCAAGAAACTGAGTAAGCTCTCTTCAATATGCCTATCTCACCTTTCATAAAATGTTCAATTTGAATTATTTAACAGATACAATTAAAATCTTAGATCGAAACGAACTGCTTCGCGGCATACGTCTATGCGTCACTCTTCAGTTTTTGGACAATGTGCCTGTTGAACGAATGATCAAAGAAATATAAATCCTTCCTATGAAACTTGTTTTGTATCTCTGTCGCTTTGAATTAGTAATTCTAGTTGAGAATTTAAGATGTGAAAAGCATAGAAAGTGCACAATAATTGCAAACTGTCAATATATTTTATAATTCTTGTATACAAAATTAAGATTGCGCTTTCAGGTTTTGAAATGTCAGAAACTGCCTAGAAAGGATAAGAGAAAATGTATATTGTTACGTGACAAGGCTCGTCCTCAGTAACAAAGAAAAGAGTGAAAGCCAACAAGCTTTGTAAATGTTAACAAACAATTCATTTCATAGACAACAATGTAAAATTGGTAAATAGGACTTACAATCTGTGAATATAATCCAAAATGTGATTCTAAGAATGAAAACACAAGTCCTATCAATAAATAGTCATATAAAAATCCAAGTTCGAGTCCCGACGACGTACAAATATAGACGGCGATAACGTCAGATGTAGCCCAATGTATAAATATCAACAATTCCTCATTTGAATCAGCTTTTGTTTCCGAATAATTCCAGAATAAACTTTCATGAATATCATTCAGAATTTATTTTATATAAAAGTTAACTTGTTGAGTTTCCAGGGGAAGAAATTATTAAATTCAAAATTCAGACGAAGAATAAACAATTCTGGCAACAAATTAAAAAATAATACACCTTGTACCATCAAGGTGTTGAATGACTGAAAAAATTATTAGGATT